TGAGGCTATTGATATTTCTCCCAGCAATCTTGATTCCAGCTTGTGCTTCATCCAGCCCAGCATTTCTCATGATGTACTCTGCATATAAGTTAAATAAGCAGGGTGACAATATACAGCCTTGACGTACTCCTTTTCCTATTTGGAACCAGTCTGTTGTTCCATGTCCAGTTCTAACTGTTGCTTCCTGACTTGCATACAGATTTCTCAAAAGGCAGGTCAGGTGGTCTGGTATTCCCATCTCTTTCAGAATTTTCCATAGTTTATTGTGATCCACACAGTTGAAGGCTTTGGCATAGTCAATAAAGCAGAAATAGATGTTTTAGTTTAATGAGATGATTTTTCTAATTGAGGTAAGATTGCTGGTAGAAGCAACTTTCTTAGCTGGATATGGACCCTGAAAGCATGAGATTCAGTAGAACCTCTGCTTTCGTTATTTTGTTGTTGTTGTTCAGTCACCAAGTCATGTCTGATTCTTCGTGACCCCGTGGACTGAAGCACACCAGGCTCCCCTGTCCTTCACTGTCTCCTGGAGTTTGTTCAAATCCATGTCCATCGAGTCAGTGATGCCATCCAACCATGTCATCCTGTGTTGTCCCCTTCTCCTCCCGCCTTCAATCTTTCCCTGCATCAGGGTCTTTTCCAATGAGTCGGCTCTTTGCATCAGGTGGCCAAAGTATTGGAGTTTCTATTTTTATGTCACTACAGGTGTTGTTTCACACGTGTGGATTTCACGTGGGTGTGTACACCAGACTTTCCTTTTCCTGAGTCTTCAGCTGTCCTCTGTGGTAGGATGAAAAGAGCTGGATACCAGTGACCATGGAGCTCACAGTCTGTGTAGCCTGGACAGTGAGCCAGCCAGAAATGCTCCCTGGTTCTGCCCATCGTGGAGGGGGGAGGCTTCAGGAATCTACTTCCTACCTGGGTTCTGGCTTCCTCTCTCCTCCGGCAGGACCCCCAGACAATGCAGTAAACCCCTGGCCCTGCGTTCAGCCCTCCTGGTGCCCTAAGAGTCTGATGGCTCCACCGACAAAGCTGCTCTCACTCTTTCCCTGTGAGGGGGGAGAAGCCAGGCGTTCTGTGAAACCCTGTGCTCAGCACAAGGGCCTGGTGCAGCATCTCTCTGAGAGCTGATGGGGTTAGTGGACCTAGACTTTCTCTTCTCTTGATGATCTCTGGTTTGTAAGTTTCTCTGTCAAAGCCTGTTCTGTGTCACTGCCTCATGGTATTGTGGAATTCGACACGCGCCCTGTGGCATGGCAGGTTGAGAAAGCACAGGGACCCCTTTACCTGGTGCCTTTTCATTTCTTAAGATTCGTTTGGAACTGGTAAGAATTGCAATGAAAATTACATAATTAAGAATTGCAATCAGCTATGTATTCACATTGTACAATTCACAGAATATTATTTTCCTAGTCCACATTCTATTTAACTCTCACAGTAGTCTACCAGTCAAGATTCAGTTTTACTATACGGACCACAAACCTAAATTTAAGGCTGGCTAAAAAAGCCTCCCCTCAAAGTGGCAGATCTGGACCTAATGTAAAGCTTTCTGCTTCCAGAAACTTTGGTACACATCTCTAGAAACAGATCTGTTCATTCTGAAATACTGAAAGCATCCACACTTTAGGTATTTTCCAGGTGCTGGTGAATTCAAAGCCCAAGAAGACATCACCAAAAGCTTTCTTTCTTGTGCCGAATAGGAAAGATCATTTCAGTAGTTATTTATTGTAAACATACTGATTTTACTTTTCAGTTTGCTCAAGATACAGTGCCCCGACCATGAGACAGTAGACCATCTCATAGGAGCAAAAGGGTGAGGATGTCTTAGCTGCTACTCAACCCGAAGGAAACAAGACATCAGCCATGTCCAAGTCCCTGAGCAACTGTGGAAAGTTACAATCTAATCAAGAGCTTGCAGAGGCATGTGTCTGAGTGAGGCTGAACAGGTCTGTCTACAGCATCTTCTCATGGATGATCTGAATTCAGGTTTGTTCTCGGAATTCAGGTACTATCCTCCCTGGCGGCTCAGACGGTAAAGCGTCTCCCTACAATGCGGGAGACCTGGGTTCAATCCTTGGGTTGGGAAGAATATCCCGGAGAAGGAAATAGCCACCTACTCCAGTATTCTTGCCTGGAAAATCCCATGGATAGAGGAGCCTGGTGGGCTACTGTCCATAAGGTCACAAAGAGTCGGACACGACTGAGCAACTTCACTTTCACTTTCATGTTCTTCTAAGTGCATTGCTCCGAAGCCTGAACGTCTTACCAGTGATCCCACGAATGGTGCCCCTCTGGGTTTAGAAACAGTGTTATGCTGGTGTTATAATATGTTATGTCATGTCAAACTTAATATTTTCAAAGCCGAACCCATCATCTACCCGCTGAACTGTTATTCCTTTGCCTGGTAAGGAATTTAACCATTTCTAGGTGCCCAGTGGGGAGCCTACCCAGACCCATCTCTTTCTTCTTACATAGTCATAACTATCAAGTCCTGGAGGGACCACTTCCTGAATATCTCACATATATTCCACCATTTCCACTGTCTGGTCCTCAACACCTTTCAAGAGCTCTCATGACTTCCTTTTGCTGGATCTCCCCCCCCCAACTCCATCAAGGCTACCTCCACAGGGCTCACTGCAGTAAATCCATCTCCCACCACCCACGGAAAAGAGTGGCAGCTCTAGTGTTTGCTGCCCACTGCTGAGCCTCACTGAGGTTTCTCCTCTCTTCTCCACATCACAGCCCAGATCTACAGCCCTGATGGCTCCCCAAGCTGGCTGTCCTCACTTCTGCCTCTCCTCCAAGTCAATCTTGCAAGGAAGAGTATTCCCTGCACACTTTCAAGCATCCCTGACTCATAAGGACTGTCCTAGCTCCTCTCCACTCTCCCTCAGTTGGTCTTCAATTTCCTTGCACTGGTTTTGTTGGACCCTGCGATGTCTTCATCAGAGCGTGGTTGTATTATGTTGTCTGTCTCTGTGTGTGTGTGTGTTTTCCCAACTAATTTTTGAGTCCTTGAGGACAAACACCATGCTCTATTTGTCAATGAATCCTGAGCCCTTGGGACGACATCTGACAAAAACAAATTTCACTTGGATTCACGCACGAGATCTCCCTTTTCCTTTTGAATATCTCAACTCCCCTCCACGGCAGGACAAAAGCACTGAACAGTGTAGGTTGCTTGAACAATGAACCACCTGGGAATAGCGCTCTCCCTTCTGGTCTGGGAGGCTGCACTGAAGTCTGCTCCCCAAGGCTCTGAGAGTGAAAGCTGAGCAGATGAATGAATCTGTGTGAACCCGCAGAACCTACTTACAGACATGCAAATAGTAAGAAGTGACAAGAACATAGGTCAGAGAAGGAGTTCCTGTTACTGCCAGTCTCTGTTTTATTCCCAGAACCTAGAAGACTCCCTGAAGAAGGAAATGGCAACCCACTCCAGAACTCTTGCCTAGAGAATCCTGTGGACAGTGGAGTCTGGTGGGCTGCTGTCCATAGGGTCGCACAGAGTCGGACACGACTGAAGCGACTCTGCATGCATGCATGCATTGGAGAAGGAAATGGCAACCCACTCCAGTGTTTGCCTGGAGAACTCCAGGGACAGAGGAGCCTGGTGGGCTGCTGTCCGTGGGGTTGCATAGAATGGGACACAACTGAAGTGACTTAGCAGCAGCAGCAGCAGAAGACTCCCTGGCACAAAAGAGCTCCATCAATATCAGTGTGAGTGAAGGACTGACTGAGTCGACAGACTGCCTGACCGAAAAGTCACCTTTGAAGACTGGGTCTCTCTGATTTCATTCTCCTGACTTCGAGTCTCTATAGTGTGCATGTGCTTGTAGACACATCTTTCAAACAAAATTAAAAAGTGAATATATCATTATTTCCTCTTGACCATAAACCAAAGTTAAAGAGTAATGATAGCTATTTATACACATGCACAGAAATTCTAAGCCACTGAAATGTATAGCCTCTATAATAATATCATTTATTTTAAAAAAATGGCTTTTGGAAAATAGGTAGGCATCCAACCTGACAAGCACACAACTTTACAGGAAGAACTAGTTTTCAGTTAACTGGTAGGATGAACTTATCTTGTAAACCGTCCTCTATGTAGTTTGTATGAATTAAAACCGGGGCAACTGTAGGCAACTGTAATCAGTCACAGGAAGAAATTCGGGGCCCTGCTCTCTGCTGCCACCCAGAGGCGGGGATGGAGCACAACCGCCTCTTCCCGTGTCAGAGACAGGAGCCGCTGCAAGATGTGAGCTTTATGGAAAGAACCGGACTCAGGCTTACATTTTCCACCCAAAACTTCTGGGGCCTTTTCCCACACAGAATGACAGCTGATTTATCTTTATCTATTACGGACACAGACACAGCCATTCGCCGTGAAGCAGGACAAAAGCCAGTAGAGGGATGAAAGAAACCCCAAATAGATCTTCTTTGAACTGATTTGTATCAGAGTTATAAACAGTTCAAGGCATGAAAGAAAAGCAGGCTGGCAAGCACTGTTGCTGAAGACGGGAGCAAAGCACAATCTTCCCTTTCTTTTCCCACCTCTGTCTTTTTTTTCTCCCTCATCCAGCTCCTCAAAGCAAACGTGGTAGGAGGCGGGAGCACTCACTGTAGGAGGCTGTTTGGGCTCTCTCACGCCTGCACACGGCTCCCTGCCCGCGGCCACCCCCTGTATTGTCACAAAGCACATTTTATAATGCAAATCACTGTCTACTACATGCCTCATTATTTTCCTCTCTGAATAAAATATGAATACATCAATTATGTGTTCTTCTATTTCTAAATGCATACCCTTGTAGCACTGACCTCTTTCAGCTTTTATAGTTTTCAGAACGTTCCTGACATTTGTCAGCTGGGTTAGGCCCGAACCTTTCTAACCTCATCTCTTATTATTTCAGCACTTTTCACACTTTCTCTCCCATCTAATTAGTCTGGCCTCCAGGCAGGCTGGGAGGGGAGCTTGCGTGCCCGGCCCCGGCACTCACCACTGCTTGTAATCCGCGTCACAGTTGCAGTAGTATCTGGGGTCCGTGCAGTTGCGCTCGATGCCGCAGGCACATTTCTGAATTCCAGGCCCAGAGCCTCCCCAGTAGTAATGCTTCTCGTTGGCTTTGCCTACCCACCAGGTGTAAGGGCTTCCATCTGCAAAAAAGGGGAAGTGCACACTGAGATGGTACCCACACCCAGTCACCATCGCGACACAGTCACATCCCCCAGCCCAGGAGCCGCATGCTCTCTGGTACCCTGAACCCCACTCAGCCCTCTTACAAGTCAGGGCGTTTCAACAGTAGGGAAGTGTAATAAGAAACTTCAGAGGAATGGTAAGCTCAAGCTTTCCCACCAGGATAAGTGCCTCTTCCTCTGAAAGATTTTACATTCAAGCTCCCAGAGTTAAGAAGCCTGTTCTGTAAAGTGGCTACCCAGATGGGGTATAACGCAAAGTGTGAGGGTGTGTTTGCCAAGCATCAATTCTCTAATGTATAAGTTCATGGCGAGTTGTGCTTTTCTATGCAAGAATAGTCATGGAGATGACAGACTATCAGAGGTCAATGTGGGCTCTCATCATGCCCTAGTATGAACTTATTTTACAGGAAAGCAACCTAGGTACAGAAACGTTAAGTGATTCTTTCAATTATACAGCAGAGCAGTCTCCAGACTGGAAGTTTGACACTTTTCTTCATAAGACATTGAACAATGCTCTTTATCCCATCCTATTTTGCTTTATTATTTGGCCTAATATTCACCCATTCATTCATTCATTCACTGGTCAGACATCTATTGCGTTTCCTTTATGTGTCAAACATTATAAGAAACTCAGCAGGATAATGGAGGAAAAGATAGAGTGTGGAATTTAATTATGGAGAGTAGGTGAGGAAGGGAAGTTTCCCAGAAGAGATAATGTACTGGAGCTGTGTCTTGATGCTTAGGTTACCCTGGTGGATAAGGATATAAGTGAGACAAGGACCCCCCAGGCAAAGGAGAAAGAAGGGTAAAGTTCTACATGGAGCACACATTGAGTAGTATATTCACTGATGGTAGAATAGGGCTGAAGAGATATATCTGAGAGGGAAGCAGGAATAGGTCGCATCAGACAGTGGGTGAAGGCCACAGCACGACAAACTTTGTCCAAATAAGCTATTTTGCATTGGTTTATTCTTGCTATTCAGTGTTGATTTCCCCCTTTTTAAGAAAGCCGCACTTCATTCTGAAACTAATGGGAAACCATTGAAGTATTTTAAACAGGGCATTTTCATGGTCACGTTTGTGTTTGTAAAGATCTGCAGTGAGATGAAAAGGCAGATTTCGGGGGATGAAGTCATGGAGGCCAGATGTGATGCTCCTATGTTAATACCAAAGAGAAATAATAAGATCGCAGTGAAAATGGAGAGGAAGAGAACATGCAAAGCGATGTAGGAGGTACAACTGGCTTGGGACTATTTGGATTTGGGTGGGGTGAAGGTGTGTGGATTAACCCCAAATTTCTGGCTTAGGTGACTAAGAGAGTGGTGATGTGCTTCACCATCCAGTAGATCACAGGGAAGAAGATGAGAAATCTAGAGAATGAAGAAGAAAGGATGATGACCCTCATACATGAAGTGGGCAACTGGCTCTCAGAGACTGGGTCTCAGGAGCATTCTCTGGGCTGAAAATCCCCTTTTAGGAGCCATCCGCCTAAATCACTGGCAGCAGGAGAGAAGTCACTGGAATCTTCTGGATTCCAGCAGCATTTAGAGAGCAGAAAAGAGGAGGAGCTGGCCATGGTGGAGGGCAAGAAAGATCATCCGAGAGGGTGGAGGAGAAACAAGCAAAGAATTTCCAGAAGAGTGGTGTGGTTGGCATCGTCAGATTTCATAGCAGAGTTCATTAAGACGAAGGTTTTAACTTTCTCTTTTAATCTGACAGCTAGACGGGGTTTGTGGAGAGGAGTTTCAGGGGAATGATGGGAAGAAGTGGCCAGGCAGCAGCAGGCAGAGGAGGGAAGGAAAAGGAAAGGAAGGGGTGGGGGGAGACCCTGAGCACAGCTGCCCTTGCAGGAGCCTGGGCGCTGAACAGAATCTGGTGGAGGCCGGGCAGCCAGCAAACCCGCACTCAACAGTGAGAATGTCCATGTGTGGGGCTAAAACTCCATTCTAATCACTCGCCAGCCTTTCAGGACGCCAGTGCACACTTGTCTCAGGCACACATCTGTGCACGCGCTTGTGCTTAGAAATAAAAACCTTGCATTCTGTACGCTATCATCTAGACCAGAGGTGCCCCAAATTTCTGGTGCCAGGGACTGGTTTCATGGAAAACGACCTTTCCACAGACCGGGGTTGGAGGTGGATGGTTTGGGGATGATCAAAGTGCATTACATTTATTGCACACTTTATTTCTGTTATGACTACATGTGTGTTAGTCGCTCAGTCATGTCCAACTCTTCGCGACCCCATGGACTGTAGCCCGCCAGGCTCCTCTGTCCCTGGGACTGTCCAGGCAAGGATACTAGAGTGGGTTGCCATTTCCCCCTCCAGGGGATCTTCCCGATCCAGGGATCAAATGTGGGTCTCCTGCATGGTAGGTGGATGCTTTACTGTCTGAGCTACTAGGGAAGCCCATAGTACATAATGATAGAAATCAGACATTGGATCCTAGAGGATGGGACCCCTGAACAGTCAACAGCACCTAAGCAAGTGACACAATAAAGGAAGAAAAAGACATATTGGAACCATGTAGAAACTGCTCCTCTGTCTTCTCAGAGATGCCAATAGTTTTTCATTTCTGCTTTTTTTTTTTTTAGAGGTAGGTGATTTAAAGTTATAAAACTGTACTGAGAGTTGAGGCTTGATGTAATGAATGGGGTAAAATCTCTGAACTTGGAAAGGAGTTACGCAGGTCTTCTCTACGTGAAGTCACTCAGTCATTTCTGACTCTGTACGGCCCCACGGACTTGTAGCCTCCGAGGCTCCTCCGTCCATGGGATTCTCCAGGCAAGAGTAGTGGAGTGGGGTGCCATTGCCTTCTCTAACTCCATACAAATTTCCAGATTTTCCAGTTGCGTTGACTTAATTTGGAAAAGTTAACTACTTTTCCCTTCGTCAGATCATTTTTGGCACCTGATTTTTAAGAAATACATTAGACTTGATCTGGCCAATAGTGGAGAGGGTGATTTCAGCACCATGCCCTGAAGGGAGAAGAAGGCAGCTCTTCCATTCTGAAACCCTGTCTCCCATCTCTCTGGGGCCTGTCCCAGTGTACAGGGGGCTGAGTTTTCTTTTTACAGCCAAACTGTCTTGCTTCTCCCTTCTCTTTTCCATCAGAGCAGAGGAACATATCCAGTTTCTGATGCTTTTTAATATTGGAAACTTGGCCGGTAATAAACTACTCTTATTTTCTTTTGATATAGTCAAGAGTTAAAAAAATAATGCTTAAAAATTGCATTTATGGAAACAATAAAACCTGAGCTGGGTCACTGGGTTAGTAAGCCGCATCAGGTCTCCGCTGATTCCATCCCTGGCCGTGTTACAGGAAAAGGACAAAGGTGGACGGTGCCATGCTGACATTGCAAAGGCCCCTGGGGCCGTGTAGGCCACAACCTGTCACTCAAAGTGCAGAACATGACCTGGACAGATTATCCCCTTTTGTCATCACACTGCACATTTTCAAGCTTACCTAAAGCTAAATTCTTTCTCTTAGAAGAAATTTCATTTACTCTCATTGCTTTGGGAAATTAGGGGATACTAACCCACATGGTGGAGGGGAAGAAACAATCAGACCACCTGAAGAACTGGAGGCCATGGCTTAGCTGACAGGAAACACCCTTGTCCTGCCTGTACATGAAATAGGCAATGAAAGGGTTTATCTCAGAACGTCAGTTCAATTTCCGATTGTTCCTTCCAGGCGCCAGTAGAAACAACCTACCATGGTTACATTCTTGTCACAGAGAGTAATGATAAATTGCACAAACCAGAGAAGCTGTGTGGCTCAGGATTCTTTATGAAATCAGGACAACGTCAGTCAAGGGAGCAAGGTTATCATCAGCTGCTCCTGTAGCACGGAACTCTGAGAAATGCACTATAGGGGAAGCAGAGAAAGATCTAGCTGGTTCCCACCACACCTACAGGGCGTATCAGGAAGCCCAGGAGAGGAAGTCACACTATCAAGGGGACTGGACCACGGGTGTTCTAGCAGGAGCCCCACGCTTTGCATGGCACCCAGTCTCCGAACCAACCTCACATGGCAGACCTCAGGTCCTATAGAGAGGGACTCTCGATAGACATCAAGATGCAATCCAAGAAGATGATCAGCAGTGATCATGTTTCTCGTGTTCTGTGCAAGGAGACATGCTAGTGACCAGGGAAAAGGAGTTCAATTCCCCAGCCCTTTCCCCCCATCCCCTACCTTTTACTCAAGTCACCTTTGTCTTACATAGCTAATGTTCCCAGTCAGGGTGGTGCAAAATCAATGTTATTTTGTTCTCCTTCCTAGGAAAATAAGTTAAGTGCAGTACAAAATGTTTTACTTAGCTGTTTCCACATCTCCCAGGAACAGACGAATGCCAAGAAGAACAACACATTCCAGAGAAAAATCAAGTTGTACCCTTTGTTATTAGCACTGGCTAATTTGGTCAAATCAAATCATTATTATTTATTAACTTGGCATATATTTTATATTCAGTGACAAGAGAATGGTTCAACTTGTGTTGAGCAAAGAGCTGCCTTATTTCAGTGCTATGCTAACAAAGTGCTACTTTTTGCTTTACAGATCATTATTTACCTGTTAATTGGCTTTGGGGAAAAGAAGTGAAAGGCGATAAAAATGGGAAGACTTTTTAAAAGACAAGAATAAGAAGTGGTGAGAAAAGAAACAATTTAATTACCCAGTGCTAAGAGTTCAAGAATTTCTCTGACCTCAGTATATGAAGATTTTTGTTAACTACATTGAGTAGGAGTAATCCTTGCAACAGGATCATGTACTGATAAACCATATTCAAGGTTAACTAGAAGCTAAATTATGAAAGTAAGGGATATTGTATTAAGACAGCCAGATATGGAGTGAATTAAATGATCACGGCACTTTGTACTCACTTAAGACCAAATTTTATTTTGTTGAGGATTCATTATGGGTTGGATGACTGAAGAAGAGAGGAAGACAA